CGTGTCCGTATCATCTAGCTGTCAACGCCCCAAGCGTCCGAGCCGGACCTACAGCCCGGAGCGAACGGGATATCCATGCACAGGTTAGCCTCTCGGCGGGCTAGTCGCATTGCAACCTGGGCAAGGATTGCCCGAGCTTGGACAGGGCCGCCTGGGGATTCGTACCCGGCACACTGCCCCACAAATGTTTCAGACGGGCGTCTGTTGACTTTCTCGGCCTATACGATCCTTGTCGATCGTGAGGCCGTCGTTGACAACAGTTCGGACCTTGCCGCTGCGGGCGCCCTGATCTGACCACTGTACGTACCTTAATACGATCACCACACAACGAAAGCTGCTGTAGAGTAGAAGGTCGGACAAGGCTTGGCGTATTGACGTCGGATATATGGTTACATATACTTATATGAATATATATAAATATATGTATTTATATATGCTTACACATATGTATGTATGAAGGCGAGGCGGCTAAGCAAACGTCGTACGGTTCCCCTCCTCCGACCTCATCCCTCAAAACAACCTCAGCGAACGTACCTTCTCAGAGCCCAAATGATCACATCCCCGAGCCTCTGACCATTAACCATAACTTACCCCGAAGCCTAATCTTCAACTAACCCCCACCAGCCCGAAAACGTATATCTTCTTAGCCAAAACCACTCTGAATTAATCCGCGTATTTATGCGACTTTTCTTCGAATTTTGCGCCCGGTTTAAAGACATTCTTCTTCGGTCGGCGTGCAACGGGCGCGCCGTGGGTGGTATCGGCCGCCCGTGTGGGGCACCTAGTATGGGCCTGGTACCGTGGCTAGCCTACGCACAAAGTTGTGGCGTGGCCGCACGAACACCAGTTTTCATCCGTTCGGATAACTCTACAATGAGCAGGAAGTCCAGGGCTGCCAGGCGTTCCGCAAGATTAACGCCGGTTGGTCGTAGGGCTAGGGTTGCCTGACCTGCTTGGTAGGGTCAATACTAAAACGCCGCTACACTAGGTAGTCAAGCAGGGGTCTTGCTCGTTGGCGGTCTGTTTGGCTTCTAAGGAACACCTCAACTGTCAAGTGACTAGGGGCCGCGCAAAGCGAACAGAAAGACGGATGAGATACATACGCTGCATGGAGCTTGCGACAAGTCGAGCTCAGTGTAAGTAGCAGTTGAGTCGACGGCTACCGTCGCCTCGCGCGTCGCTCTCTACTTGAAAGACGGGTATGGACTGCGGTCTCTGCTACAGCCCGTCTGCCCGGGTTGATGGATCGGACTCGGCATTGCTTTCATATGCACTTCGCCTGACTTATCTCGCCCGCGAGAATTTAGGTCGACCAGATAACTATAACTCACAACCAGACCCTATGAACTAGATGACACTCAGTGATGCTTGTAGGTGTTCATTATCCTTCGGAATGCACGATACAGGGCGGTAGACCCCGGCTTCTACGCCCAACGGACGGACGGGGTGTCCGCAAAGCACGATCATATGCGCAGGGTATACAGGTATTCCAACACAGAAAACGTTGACGCATTCACCTAGTAGACCTTAGAATGCCCCATGTGGGAGAGGGACTTCAAAGTTCAGACTGGCTAGCTTAGGCCCAAAGAAGCCACAGGTATATTCGGCTCACCGCCGCCGCAACAGCAAATCACCTTCGCTGAAATAGACCCGGCGACAGATCACACACCCTGACGCCAACGCCGACGCGCACAACGATCCTTTCGGTGATAGCCGACGTCACGTGAGTATTGCTGGGATGTATGTTGCGTCCACAGAAATCATGAGGGACATGTCGAGGATCGCAAGTCGGACCCTTGGGGTGGCATGTGACGTCACTATCTTGTTACCTCAAGAGTCACTCTATAAGTAGGCAGAAGCTTGGCGTGCATTCTATACAAAGACCCATTTCTTTCTCTCTTTTCTCTCTGAAACCCTCCCCCCCCCCCCCCCCCCCCCCCCCCCCCAACACACACCATGTGGATATGCTTGATGTGGTAATTGAGCTTGGATGCTTGTCGATAATGCCTTAACAACATAGCTACACATCACTTGGGCGATGTTTCCATGCTTACTATAAGGGATTGGGTAGACGGAACGGAGAAGCCCGGGAGCAGCTCGGCCAACGGAGGCCGGAGGGCCGGAGAGGCCTGCGGGTCAGGGCACAGAACCATCCACAGAGAGGACTTGGCGAGTACTCGTTGAAGGCTGGAAAAAGCGAATCCTCGAAGAAGCAAGCAAAAATAGCGCAGCAATACCATACATACCTTTTAGGTTCTGCTTCTATCAGTTTGACCTAACCGTGGCCCGTAGCCCCTAAATACCTTTACACTTACGCAGTACGTACCATGGAGTATGATTAAAGCAATGTTTCAAGTGAATCTAGCTACGGAGGGTGCGCGATTGCTGAGCAACATGTTGTATGCCGAGATGAAAGTCCTCGCTAGGGGTCCACGCAGTTCACTACTGAACTATGTCTACTTACTATTCACTAGATGTAGCTCCTAGTACGCAGGTATAGCTATAGAACCCAGGTACAGCAAGAGACATAGAGTAGGCGCTTTTTTGAACTCTTCTCTACTTCTCTATATCGGGGTGTTGGTATACATGTACGCTAGCGAATCATATATTAGATCCTGCCTAGCCCCCGGTTCTGTGTCAGGACGTTTGGGATTTGTAGCATTGTGAACCATGCAAGACAGCGAAGGATTGAACCACATCCACATTGGAATCTCACGTTCACTGTCTGTCACTTAAAGAAACCAAGGACAGGCGCTGGAACCGCATCCAGTGATGTAGCCTCCTAGCTTTGCGGTCTCATACCTATCTCGCCAAGTATCGTTCCCAAGCCTAATGTTATGTTATAGATAGAGCGGCTTGTGTGATAAGTTGCTAATATAACACTCGAGGGCCTCACTCAATCAACGTGGGCGTCTCTCTCATCTATAACGTAGGTCTACAACGCCTGTCTTGTCAGACCAGTATGGGATCCCCCAACCTAGTTCTACCCTATATAGTACCGGAAGACGGAGAGGGAAAGAGAGGGAGAAAGTGGGGGAGATTGATGCCGCTCCCAACATCTTCATACTAGCTCTCCACGCTGGTTTGGCACCAGTGGATGACCTAGCGAGGCCTTGGGCTGACCCTCAGAGACGGAGAGGGGCGGATTTTCCCTTTTCTCAGTCCATGCTTGCGTGGTGCTGTAAAGTGGGACTGGTCCCGTCCGCTCCACATTCCCGATCGCAGAATAGGCTAAACCGACCTGAGGGACTAACAAGAAACCGCAAGTGTATTAGGAGAAAAGCTTTACGGCATTGGGATTTCATGACATGCTGCGTCTGGCCGCCTCTCTCGTCTTACGTTGTGGGATATCTGATTTCTAACCCCGTTCATCCTACCCATGGGTTCCTTTCCTTATTTCAATCCCCACGTCACATATAGTAACTCGGCATGCCTATGGTAGACGAATAGGAACGACGAAATATCATAGACACCGTCCTGCCCTAGCAGACCTCGGGCTTGATTGAGAAAGGGTCAGCAACTTGCCCAGCCTTCCAGAGTCTGTCTCACGGGACAGAGACCAGTTCAACATATGGCTTACAAGCGCTGGACCGTCCCTATCACAGCCCCTAGCACCTTCAGCCGTCGTTAGGGACACATCGCACATTACAAATTACCGAGTGGCCCTGACCATCTCGACATAGTACGTCGCGTTGGTGTGTACTGTGTGTGAGCGCTGGAGTGCATGAAGGTCGGAGACCTTGCTGCGTCACTCGGCAGCGGAGTATGGAACACCCCCCCGGCCGGATGCCACGTAGGCGAGGCAGCAAGCAGCTGGCACCGGCACATGAGGACACCAGGGTCTCCGGGCAGCCGGTCGGCGAGCTGCATGTAAGAGGCATCGCCGGCGCCTTTGCCGTCCTATTGTCGCGCCTTCCTGCTCTGGAGACGCTTGAGATACGGACCTTCGACCGGGCCGGGCATTAGCAGGGTGATAGACCGGCTACGACACTAGCACTCGGAGACCTTACAGTCTTGCTCCTACGTCGGATGATACTTTCGGCCAATAGTGCCAGGCTTATAAACCGTGAGGCGGCTAGCCGGATTGTCGTGCCATTATCCGGCCGCAGGCACCACCGCCAGGTTCGACTTCCACATCAGCGTAGGCGCCGTGCTTTGTATCTTATGACGGACGGCCCCCGTCGGCAACTACGCTAGAATAATTGGTCCTGAGCAAGGTTGACCTCTGCGAGGTAAGCGTGAGCCGGCTGCCCCGCCCGTGCGTGCCCGAACCTCAGGATTCTCCGCAGGGAGGATATCATCGACGCCGAGCACACACCGTCGTAGGCCAACATACACGCCTTTCGCACTTCCTTCGAGGCTTGTGCGCCCTCGCTGGGAGATCTCCTTCAGCCTGATCCTGTGGCTATGCGGCTTCGGTGTGTCACCATATCACCACCCGCGCTGCTCAGATGGGAGATGGAAAGCTTGGGGAGGCTCGCCGACGTGCTCCGTGCTAGCATGGAATACCCGATGTTCTTCTAGCGATATTCCCGAGGGGACAGCCCGATCGTACCGTGGTAGTATTCGTTCGAGACTTAGAACATGTAACATATGGCTCCTAGGCTGTCAAGCTTGAGGGAGTCGAAGGTGGAGATATAGTCGGCAAGTGAGACATCATAGGCCGAAGCGTTAGGGAATAGCATGCATCGGCTCGGGAGGTTTACGGTATAGGCGTCATCACTGCTTGGTTGGGGGGTGGGGGGGTTTCGAATTCACACCGGTAACCTTCTCAAACGCACGCACAACCCTAATTATCTCACTAATAGCCTTTGACTCGCCTGAGCTTTGATGCTGCTATCCGTACGTCGTGTGGAAAAGGAGGGGAAAGAAAAGGATAAAGCGGGGAGAGTCCCCGCACAGGCTAAAGGGGGAAAAAAAGGGAAGAGAGAGAGAGAGGAGATCATGCGTGCGCAGCTTGGCTAGTGCTGGGGTGAAGCTGTATGGCCCGTCAGCTGACAATGGCTTTCAACTCACTGGTGGCGTCCTTAGCCCTCCTAGGGAGTAGTCTTTCGTTCCTAGCAACCTCGAGCGCTTTAATCTTGATTGGTCTTCACCATACTCGACGCCGGTCTCTACGACACACCCTCGTCCTTAACCTCATGGTTGCTGGTAAGGTGTTCTCCTATCAACGTCAATGTTAAGCGGGATGAGACACTAACCAAGACGACCATCAACGCAAAGAAGTCATTAACTCAGCTAATAACACTATATCGGGGATCATCTACGTTAGGGACCAGGAATTACAACGCGGAATAGCGTGCGTCTTGAACGGCGTGTTTAGTCAGCTCTCAACGCAAGCATCCGACTTCTCCATCCTCGCCATCGCTATAGCCACGCTTCTGGTGATATGGCAGAGAACAAGTATGGCGGACAGCTCATCACTTAAGAGATTCTCAATCTGCTGCTGCGTATGGCTTATTCCGATTACTACTAGTGCCTTGGCTGCTAGGATCGGTGTGATAGAGCCAGTTGGCGGGAACTGCTGCTGGATTGCGCGGGACCGGCCCAACCTTCGACTTGGCCTCACCTATGTCTGGCGTCTGTGGATCATATCCACTACCGTTTGCATCTACACTTTCGTCTGGTGCTATCTCAGCCAACGTCCTCGCCCCGCCGCTAGTACGTCCTGGCTTTCGTGCGATACCGGATCACTAACAGTACGCCCGACGACAATGGCCATACTCGAGCCACGAGGAAGAAACTTCACACCAACCAGGCTTATGTGGGGTACGCCTATGAGGTGCTTGCAAGACAGCCGGGCAAAACGTACGAAGTGTTCCCTTTCCCGCGCCTCAGAGTACGCTCTAACTAGGTATTTAGGAGAATCGGATAGCAGATGCGGCAGTGCTGCTGATGATCAAAGTGGGCAGCAAGCTGGGCCGTTGGCTCCGCGTGCTCCTTCCGCGGCCAGAGTCCACAAGGAAAAGAAGCCACACACGACGGTACGCTCGGAGACGTCGCGGCAGAACGAAACCAGTCCGGATACGAGCCAGGTATTCGGACCGAGGGGGGCGGGCATTGGTCGATTAGGCACCAGGGAGCAACAAACACACGTTAGGGCATTAGGTGAACGACGTCCTCTACAAACTACACAGGCACTTACAGCAACGCTTCTTCAGAGAGTCAGGGACTGCTCAGATTTCACCAACGGAGAAGATACTGCGGAATATAACAGCGGAGGTGGGACTGCAAGCCAGTCATGTATTCCTCAACCGTGGGGAGCTTCCCGCCTCCTGGAGTACAGATGGAACCCCAGCAGAGACACCACCGTCGCAAAAGACGGTGTATCGTCAAACGTCACGGCTGCAATGATGGCTAATCTTTCTACCAAAAAGCAGACCCAGACGTCAGAGCGGCGCATTAAGCGCATGATACTGCTGAAATCCTGTCCTATCTTATACATAATTCTCTGGATGCCCAGCCTGTTGAGCGGAATCATAGAGACTTCTGAAGCTAAGACGTTTAGCTCGGTATCAGCAGCGCTGCAAGTCTCCAGCCAGTTTGTTGGTCTTGCTAATGCAGTGACGTACTGCTTCCATGAGAGCGTAGCGTGTATATCATGAGATTGTAAAAGTTATTGATCGCATCAAAGGCTGTAAGCATAATGGTTCTTTCTTTCTTCTTTCCCCCTCCACTCCCCTGGCTGATTTGCTTTCGCGGTTTCCTAATCTACCTTACTAACCAAGCAACCAACCAACCAAGCCACCAGCCAACCAGCCAACCAATTGACCAAGCCCTCACCATTCTCTCAACAGAAAGAAAAGAAAAGAAAAGAAAAACGGAAGAGTCGTTACAACTACGTGGGGTTGGTTAATATGTGCATAATTTACTTGTTCTTCGTTTTAATATTGAACCTCTCATATGCTTTTGCCCCCTTTACCTTCCTCTGTATGTGGCCGGCTTGATTCTCATGATAGGTCAGTATTAATATCTTGGGTGTCTATGATTAAAGCAAGTGTCTGTCTATGCTCTCTATCATAAGTTAAAGAGATGAAGAGAGTAGTCAAGTACACTAAGGACTTAGCACGTGAAGCCATAGTGGCCTTGGATAACTCTAGTACCGCATCGAATGAGTATATGAGGTGATTTAGCTATGGATAGTCTCTCTAATTATGTCTACTGCTCCCCTTAGTATTATTGCCTTATACTTAACTTATTTTCAAGAAGAAATAGGGCGCTTACCACAGCGAGACCAGATGCTAACGCTAACAGAATCCAGCTCTTCGTAGTAAATACTAGCAGCTTCGAGGTAATGGAAAGATGCCTCCAAGCACCCTCAGTGTTACGCCCACACCTACACCCAGGGGCTGACCACGAAGCCATCACAACAACTATCCCTATGAGTAGGGCCCAGGAACAGGGACGCCAGGATAACCAGCTCTCAGTCCCGGAGTCAGCCCTACCACGGCTGATCGACCTAGTAAAGGCTGGGGCTACAGCCTTACCTACTCTAGGGGAACTGCCCAACCCAGCAGAGCTGGACACCCTAGCTGCCCAACTGGTCAGCCTCTTCCATACAGCTATTCAAGCTGTAGGCAAGAGACGGACTAATCAGGGTAGGGGAGCCCCCTGGTGGACAGAAGAATGCTCAGTAGCCCACCAAGCTGCTATTAAGGCTAGGCGCCAACAGGCCCAAGAACCTGGGCTGGTCATACCTCCCCCTATCCTAGAGGAGCAAAAAGTCTTCCTAACAACTGTGAGAAGGGCGAAACGCACCTACTGGACTGCTAAGATCGAAGAGGCTAAGACAGACCAAGACCTATATAAAATTATAGGCTGGCGGAAGTCTAGCCTAGCAGTTAAAGCTCCGCCTCTAATAGTGGAAGGGCAGACGATCAGCAATACCCACGATAAAGCCCAAGCCTTGCGAAAGGCTCTACTTGAGCGATTTAGTGCTACAGACGACCTATCTGGGAACCCTTTTAGTACCCCAGTGGTTGTAAGTCGTATTATACCCTGGCAGAATACAGTTAGCATAGAGGAAGTACGCCAGGCTACTCTGACAAAAGCTACAACCCCTGGGACTGATAGGATTACTACAAAGTTGCTACAATGCACCTGGGGATTAGTAGCCAAGCCTATACAACAGCTCTTCCAGGCCTGCGTTCAAGTAGGCTATTTTCCTAGACCCTTCCGCAATGCGGAAATTGTCATGACCCAGAAGCCAGGGAAAACAGATTTCTCTAAGACTGGGTCTTGGCGCCCAATATCCCTGCTGTCCTGCTTAGGCAAAGGCTTAGAGCGGCTGATAGCAAAGAGGATGGCCTACCTTACTATCCTAGAAGGGGTTGCCAGCCCACAGCAGGTTGGAGCCCTACCAGGGAGGGCTGCAGTCGACCTGACAACCTGTCTAACCCATGAGATTGAGAGGGCTCTAGATACAGGGCTTACTGCGACGCTAGCAACAATGGACGTCAAGGGGGCGTTTGATTCCGTCTTACGAAACCGACTTATTGTCAGGCTACGACAGCAGGGCTGGCCTAGTAGCCTGATCAGACTGATCTACACCTTCACCTCTAGCCGAACAGCCTGCGTCAGGCTAGAGGATACTACTACAGAGGACTTCCCTCTATCCTGTGGACTACCGCAAGGCTCTCCACTATCCCCTATCCTCTTCCTGCTCTATATAGCTGATATCCTAGCTGATGATCGGAAGCTACGGTTTGGCTATGCAGATGATATAGGCTTAGTAGCTACTAGCCCCTCGCTAGAAGAGAACGCTACAGCCCTAGGCCAGGAGATCAGTAGCATCCTCAGCTGGGGAACAGAAAATAAAGTCGCCTTTGACCCAGCTAAGTGTGAGGCAATCCACTTCAGCAGAAAACATCAACAGACAACAGACCTACCAGATATCCAAGCCAGAGGCCTAACTATCAAGGCCTCAATAAAGCCTATAAGATGGTTAGGGGTCTGGTTTGATAGGAGACTCACCTTCCAACACCATGTAGGAATAAAAGTAGCAGCAGCAAAGAAGGTAGCCTATTTCCTACAGCACCTTACAAACACAAAAGGGGGGCTCCCAGCAGCTGCAGTTCGAAAAGCAGCTATTGCTTGCGCCCTCCCAATAGCCCTATATGGAGCTGAGACCTGGTATGCAGGCTTGACCAGACCAGCCCTGAACAGCAGCACCAGTATAGTCGGCACAGGACAGAAGGGTTTAGCCTGTAGAGTCGGAAGAGTTATTACAGCAGCAGCAAGGGCTATCCTACCTGTCTGGAGGACCACACCAACCAGTGCCCTCATCCGAGATGCTGGCCTACCAACAGCAGAGGTGGCCCTTGAGGCAGCGCGACTACGCTTCGCTACACGCCTACAGAAGGTTGACCAACAACATCCCTTGGTCCCAAGGCTTCTACAGCCAGGGCGGCAGCAGACCAGGCTCCAAAGAACAGCTGGCCTCTTACCTAGGTGCCCAAGGCCAGCACTCCTACAGCCGCAATACCCCCTAGGGTCTCACCACCCTATAGTCACACAGACGAAGGAAGCAGCAGCAAGGATCTTCCAGGCCTGGCTTAAGACTGTGCCAGATAAGCATACTATTATCTACTCAGACGGCTCTAAGGCCCCTGATGGCGCTACAGGGTTTGGCTTTGTTATATACCGTAAGAACAAACGTATAGCCCAGGGCTGCGGCCGCCTCAGCTTAGCAGAAGTGTTTGATGGGGAGGCTGAGGGGGCGAGGGCAGGGCTCCGACGGGCCCTCCTTACCTCCCAGGGCCAGCCTATACATATCTGTATCGATAATACCAGCGTTATCCAGGGGATCCGAGGCAGGGTCCCAGACTCCTCACAAGCGGCCTTCCTTGAGATCCAAGAGGCAGCTAGGACGTATGACATACGAACCCATTGGTCCCCAGGGCATGAAGGCATCAAAGGGAACGAGGAAGCAGACAGCCTAGCCAAGGAGGGCACAACCATGCCAGCCCCTAGGGGCCAACTAGCCACCCTGTCAGGGATCAAACGGCTAGCTAGAGAACGTATATGCCGCCAGTATAGAAAATGGTGGAAGCAAGATGCAACACCCCGCTATACCCAACTAGGGCTTAAGGCTTCCCTTGCCTGCCCCCCTGAACTAGCCCTGCCACGGGCTATACTCCATCATCTCCTAGCAGCCCGGTCAGGCCATGGAGACTTCGAACAATACCATCAACGCTTTAACCATACAGAAGCACTGCTTACCTGCTCCTGTGGGGAGGCAAAGGAGGCAGACCACCTAGTCTACTGCCGAAAGACCTTAGCGAGGAGGCTTCAGTGGCCCACCCTCCACCCCTCTAGTCCACAGGAGCCTATAGGACCAATAGGATCTCTGGATCGATACTACAAGGGGCTAATCACTGATCATGAAGGCTTCCAGGCCTTTCTCTGCGTGACAGATTTCTTCCGGAAGATCTGCCCGCGGTACTAGGGCCTAGGTCTGAACCTAGGCCTTAGTAACGAACCCCCCCCCCCTCGTAGAGGAACTGACGAGTATAACGGAACCAGGGAACCAGCGGGAACTAGGGACGGATAGAACACATAGTAGCCTATGGGCAAGATTTGGAGGACGTTAGGAAGAGGCGTGTACTGTAGAGTATATAGCTTGAGCCTGCGGCCCTCCACGCCATATACCCCTCGGGAGGTCGGCCGCAAGGGCGGCTGCGCCCTTGCCGCCACGGCGTTAAATACAACAACAACAACAACAACAACAACACTGCGATAGACGCAGCTGAGACGAAACGCAACGGTTGTTCGGTCTGTTTCCAAACGGACGATATCTGGATTGAGCTGCAATGGGCGGCGAATGCTAGCAAGATGGTGGCTTTAATGCGACAGATAGGGAAGAAGGGTGGAAGAAATTATTAACAAGATATGGGGAGGAAGAAGGGCACGTGGTTACTCCATGAACGAGGGTACTGAGATTGGAAAGGCAAAAATGAATGCAGTTTGAGGGTAGTGTTCCCAGACTGAAAAGTGCAAACGTCATGTTCAGCGACGGTAGAATAAATAAGCCAGAAGTAGCGATCAGGCTTAGCATGCTTCTGGGTATTATTGACGTGTCTTTTGCTGCAAATCTGTATAGGTGTAAGACTGTGGTAGGGAGTGAGGACGTCGTATGAGTGTAGATCGGTTTCTACCGATTTCATTGGCCACGAAATGGTGTGAATGGTATCACGACCCACCGCAGCTACATAAGGTTCTTATCCGGTTAAGGTGTCGGCTCCTTCGGGAACAGAACGGTGTCGGGAGTTGTTTGATTGAGTGGGTTTCGAAAACCGTACGTGACGAATGAAAATGGTTAAAAGGAGCGGCTGCGGCTGAGACGTTGGAGATTGTGAACATGGGATAGTGATCCCTGAGAGCTTGGCTGGAGGGGCAGCAAAAGCAATAACTGGGAACCATTTCGGGCCAATCATTTCGGTCATATCTCAGGAAGAGAAAAGTGGAAAGACACGGCTCTTTTGGGGTGGTCTGCACACCTACGCCACCATATTCAACACCAATTAATCCATCTCGTCTTTTCGCAAATGGTTCTTCATCCTAGTTTTATCCATTAATTACTATAATACACTACACCTATGCACTGCTGCCAACTCATTCTCCGCGGTTTCAAGCGTATGTGAGAATAGACTACGGCACATATGTGTGGTGGCGTTACTTAGCTTCAATCTGGGGCTTTTGGATGGCTTTTCGCATATCCTCTGCGTGCTGAGGTTATCGTAAAGCAGGTTGCTAATCTCTATGAACCTCTCAGTATACTATAGCGATGACCTGATGTACCTCGCCACACTGCGGAGATTCCTCACTAGACCCCTCTTCCTCTACATTCCTCAATCCTCTTCGGCGTTGCGAATTTCAATTTAACGATTGGAACTCTGCTGGGGCGTCGCTTGATGAATACTACGAGGATAGGGCCGCACCTATCATACTAACTGCGTAGCCAACGGATTAAATACACCGCTATTCTTAACCTTTTTCGATAGAACATTATAACATAGACGGATAGAGAGGGCCTTCAGACAGGCACTGTTGTTGCTAGCGATGTGGAATATTACTGCCACCCTAACTCGTTCTAGTGTCCTGATATTGTGGACAGGTAAACTTACCTCATCGTAAGAACGAAGTTCTTTTCGACCTAGGCACTAGGTTAACAGTAGAAAATTCATTGTATGATATTCGGTTGACTCGATTGTTAATGAGGTGACGTATTAAGATAGTAGTTGCATAACTGTTAGGCGAGATCTACATATTAAACAAGAAGTAACTCTATCTGGATATATCCTATGTCCTTCTTCTCACGACCAATCGCAAGCTACATTCAAGAGGGTCTTCAATCACTGTAGCATGATGGTTCTGATGATCGACAAAGTCTATACAATAACGATATTATACTACAACTTCATATAGAAGGGTTGCTATGCTCACGAATCCCTTTCTCCTGCTGTAGGGGTCGTACATGACAGCTCTGGTGAGTAAGGTACAGGTGTTATGGGAATCTGTGACTTGAACGAGACGGACGACTGCGAGGACCCGGGTCCAGGTGAATGGCAATCGCCTTGTGCAAAGGAGGTAGTGGTGCAAAATAGTTCAGGAGAGGCCTTGACGCATTCTCGGAAAGGGAGGGAAGGGCATTCTGCAGTGTCAAGAGCTTTACCTAACCTGTTAGCAAGTCCATTTTTAATATGAACTCTAATGTGAGTTACAAAAACATAGCAAGAATGCATTACACATACCATTTATTTGCATCATTGCTCTAGGAAGAGCTTCGCTGTCCCTGGACGGTGGGTAAATGTGAGGGATTGTCGACGAAGATATCTTGTTGATGGGATGAGATAAAGTAGATGGCGAAGTAGTGGGACCTACGCCGGCGGCAGGAGACGTGGGACCTGCAGGGGCTGGTTTGGAGATATCTTTCGAAAACGATAAACCAGGGCCGGAGTCTGTGCCGGTGCCATTTCGTGCACTATCGACAGGCGTTTCGGGTTCAGGTGAGGAAAAAGAAGAATATTTTGGATAGATGTAGTCGAGGGATAGGTGACGAATGTGACGGGAGGGGGAGAAAGATGGGTCTGGTGAAACTCTGGGAAGTGGTTTTTGTCCAGACGGTGGGGTCGCAGTGGGAGGACTAGCCTGAGGCTTCCGCGACCGACCGCGTCGGAGCTTCACATGATGACCAGTTTGCTCCAGCGGAGGACGCTTTCGAGGCCGACCACGTCCACGCTTCGGCTGAGGCGTATCTTCGGGCCTCAATGGATGCTTCCGCGGACGACCCCGGCCACGCTTCAGCGTCCCCTCTGAGGTGCCTGTCATGGTGATGTTGATGTATGGATTTAGGAAGGGATGCTTGATATTACTGATAAAAAAAGTGAAGGTTGATGTGGAATTAGGATCACATCTTCATCAGAGGAATGTACTACTTTATATAGAAGAAATAAAGGCAGTAGAACTTGAGATAGTCCATTCAATACAAGGCTTAAAGTCACGGATTTCTAGGGTGAGACCACGGTTAGGTTAGTGTGATGATTTACATCCGGAACGGAGACCGCATACGTGGGTTAGCCAATAAAAACGGTAACTTGATCACAACACCGAAAATGATTATGCGGGTTTCAGTGTGGGTCAAATAATACCACAACTATTGGTTAGACATACCTAGAGAACGTGAGGGGAACAAGGATTATGGGACTGTGGTGTAGCTAACAGGTTCTATGAGTACCTGTAGAGGAGTTTAGGTGGGCAATCTCTGTGTAAGTATATTGGACTTACTGCGTCGGTCTAGTTCGTGCGATATCAATTATGAGATAGATGGAAAAAATCTAGAAAAAACAATGGAAGATGTAGTTTGTAGTCATCATGTAGCTGAAGCTCTCTAAAAGCGTGCATCGCAGACATCAGGACGTCGAGTACTGGAGTTCATACGATTGGAATTATCATGAACATAGATACATGTATCTAGGGCTATTATGCAGGTACATAATGACTTGTTAATGCCTGGGCTGAAGGGGTATTATAACCGTTTCTAAGGTGGGAATCTGGTTACTGTGCTGGATTGCGTGATTCGAGTTAAGAAATGAATGTGTGATTACGTACAAGGTCACTTGTGAGAAGGAAATGTATCTCAAGGACCGTTTTTACTATAGGCGAACCATTTTTTTGGTGTTGTACCTTTTCTGATAAGAAACCAGGACCGTGCGCAGATTTTTTCGACCAATCCTAACCAATTGTCAAACCAAATTTGGTTTAGGGATTAGACTCCTAACTGTTAGGCTTGTAGAAGACGGAAGAGAAGCCCCGCGGGGCTTATTGACTAGGCGCGGACGACTTCCGGCTGAATGTGGGGAGGTCGGTCTGTCCATAGGGGAAAAGAAAACATAAAAAGCCCCGCGGGGCTTTCTACTTATATTAGTCAGGAGGGAGATGATGAATTAAATAGCTAGATGATAAAGAACTACTATGTGCTCCTACCTACTTACCTACCTGCCCTGCCCACCCTGCCTACCTAAACAAACCTACCTACCTAAAACCTTACCTGCCTCGCGCGGGGTCTGTCCGTCCTAGCCCTAACCCCCCCCGACCGGTGCCGTGGGCGGGGGCTACTACCCCATGCTTTTGCCGGCCCACTTTAATTTAGCTGGCCGTTTTAATAAACTCTACTTAAGTTCATCGTGGACGTGAGGTTAGGTCTGCTAATAGAAGCTGGGGATTAACATGTTATAATAGTATACTAGGGTTATAGTCTGGTTATAGGTGTTACGACCCGTTATATGTGGATAACAGTCGACCGACCCACTTGGACATCAGGCGGCTAGGATAAGACATTTATACTGCAGGATCACAGGAACAACAGGGACTCACTCGGAGACGGAAGAACTATAGTACAGGTCACGTGATGATAAGAAGGACCGACGAAAGATAAGCGGTCCTGATCTAGGACCGACATGAAGAAAGCAGTCCACACCCGGGGACCGCTCGGAAGATATCGGTCCTCAGTTTAAAGAAACTACTTAGACTTGTATATAGTATGACACTGAGCCTGGCTCATGGTCAAACTTCTATAGCTCTTCAGCAATCAACTTAGTACTCATCCTCACGGATACTCTCAGCTTACCTTCACTGCGAATCACTTGTTGAGTCTAAGACTGATCACCTTAGCCTCTGAAGACCCGATCTACTACAGCCTACGAACTACGACCTACGACCACGACCCAGTGTACTGTTAGAACGTATCAATCCCCAGCTTCTGTTAGCAGACCCTACTGTCGGATAGCTGACCGTAACAATAGGTTATAGGCTGGTAGTAGATCAGACTTTAGAGGCTAAGGTGATCAGTTTTAAGCTTAATAAATAATTTATAGTGAAGGTAAGCTAAGAGTATCTATGAGGATAAATACTAAGTTAATTACTGAAGAGCTATAGAAGTCTGACTATAAGCTAGGCTCAGGGTTATACTATATATAAGTCCAATTCTGAACATATTCCTTTATACCTTAGGTCGATCTGGACCATTCCGATCCAGAATGATCGTTTAGCCCCTAAGTCGTGTTGGATCATATTGATCCAATATGATCGTTATCTTATCGTCACGTGACTTAGACTATAGTTCTTCTGTTACCAAGTGAGTCCCTGTTGTTCCCATGATCCTGCAGTACAAATGTCCTGTCCTAGCCGCCCGATGCCTAAGTGGGTCGGTTATCTGTTATTCCTGCATAACGGGTTGTAACACTAAATAAGAGTTATTATTAATAGCAGTCCTTAGTTCTAAAAAGTAGAATAATAGAGACATATCTACTTTATAAATCAATTAGAGCTTAAGGTGCTCTTATTATCTAAGGACATAAGACGCACACCTGTTCCATATCACCTTTTTTAGTAGAAAGGCATCACACAGGGCAATTCAATCTAATTACTTCAGATATTGTTTGATTTAGACAATCTTGCGGCCCAGCAATCTCTTTCAGTCTCAATTGCCTATGCCACTGCATGGCGTAAAAACGCAAATCCCTTTTCTACCTCTGCCGCAATACTTCCATTTGAATCCTCATCAAGATCTAACAAATGCGACGCGCCATCAATGATCGCAATCCCTGACTCAACCCCGTGCGCTGCAAGGGACTCACTCATGTCTCTGGCTTGCTGGACAGGAACGAGGTCGTCTTCCGTCCCGTGAACGAGGAATGTAGGTGTGCGATACGTCCCGTTAATGACCTGGGCGTGTGGACTAATGGCCATGATACGCTCCCGAGTCGGCCTTTGCAGCGTCTCATAGTCGCTCGCAGACGCTGACTGCGGAATCTGCCCTTTGCTGGGTAGTCCGTCCAACCATATAGGCAAGAGCTGACCTTTCCAGTTTCCATGCAAAATGATCGTTGTCCGAGGATTAGTCCCTGAAGGCCCTTGGCCCAACCACTTACCAGGCGCAACTGGCCTTCCATTTTTCATCACTCGGCTTTCGGTGATTGGATAGTTCTGAACAGCTTCAAGCAAATCATAACCCCGCTTGGCAAGGCTTTGGGTGCCAGAAGGAAAGTTTGGTTGAAACCATGCTACAGGAGCGTCAGTCGTTAAGCCCAGACAACATGGCACACACGAGCGCGGTGTACGTCTCGATGCGCCGATTATGGTGACTTACACTCATCTTCCAATTTTGAAGGGCTGTAGAATGCAAGAATCGCATTGGGCGGCTCGATCCTCTGTTCCAAAGATGTCCACGCCAGAGTCATGGCTAAGTGACCACCACTTGACCAGCCAATCCCAACAACCTTGGGACCAATGCGAAGACCTGGTCGGTTCAAGTTCATGAAGGGTAACTCATGACGGGCCCACTGTAGAGCGGAGCATGCGTCAGCCATGGCACCCTCCGGAAGAGGCATCTCAGGACACAGCCTGTAGTCAACCGCAACTGGTAAGATGCCGTTGTCAAGCAAACGCTGGACATGCTTGGTATTGATGTCATGGCGCGAGAGGCTGATGTGACCGCCCCCATGGAAGAGAAGGCCTAAACTTATGTTCAGCTCTCTGGATCTTGTGACAATCAAGCCGATGTCTATTCGACTATATCAGGACGGAAAATCACTTACCGACTGACCATGTTTGTGACATCAACTCATCGGAAGGCGGAAGATATACGTCGGCAAATAGGCGATTCTGTCCAGTCTGTTTGAACATCACCGTTTGGATGTCGAAACGTTTCTTCGGGATGATGTCTCCAACGTCGGGGCGCGTTTTGAATCCCGTGATGATGCGAAGCATGTTAGACTCAGCCAGCTCGCCTCCGGTCCAATCGACGTGCCCAAACCCGGCCTGCTCGAAGCTTCTCTTCCAAAAGAACTCGTCGGCAAGAACGTGCTTTCTTCCATCCGTCATCGACCACCAGCCATCCATGACTGCAAAGCGGTTAGCATTTTTGAGATCTACAGAAAGAATGGACCAAACTCACGTCCGAAGACAAGATCAAACCAGAACAGGTTTTTAGTGAACTCAACAAGCGTGACAATTCCGTGTGGTTTTAACATTTGTCGAATATTTGTGAGTGAAACGGATAAATCAGCAGTGGCGTGGATGCAGTTGGTTGAAAGGACGAGGTCAAACTTTCCAGTCATATCGGAAGGGGGACTTTTTGTGGCGTTCAAAGTCTGGAACTCTAGCCGTCCAATTGATTGACTCAGTAAGCCGGGTAATTTTCTCTTGGCCCCAGCGACCAGTCCCGCAGAAACGTCTGTGAAAGCGTAGACGAATGGTATTCCGGCATCTCCCAACATCCGAAGGACGTGTTTCGTAGTCGATGCTGTCCCACCACCAATCTCGAGAATATGAATTGGTTGTCCGTTGCCTTTTTTCAGAGCACTCAATGCTTTCTCGAGAAAAGAGCAAAGCTGTTTGCTGGCTGCTAGATAGAAGGGGCCATTGGTGTACACATCTTCCAGGATATTGGCATTCTCCTTATTCCTGAACACCAGAGTCAGAGGGTCAGCTGCTCCAGTCATGCAGTCCGCCAAAGAGCTCCCCGTGATGTTGAGGAGTTTGTGTTCGGATGCATGTCGAGGGAATCGTTGCACGGCTTCCTGCAGCCGTTCAACCACAGACTGCTTAGGGACAGGCGTATCAGCGCGGACCCAGACATTTCCCTTTCGACGGACCAGTCTTGCGTCTTCCAGAATCTCGAAAAGTTGTGATGCAAGAAGAGCGTACTTCGGGAGATATTGAATGGTTGGGAGTTCATCCCCAGCCTTGAAGACTGATAGATCGCATCCAAGTTGCGGGAGAGCGTCGACCACGTATTGCGTAACCAGAGAAGCTTGAATGGGATACACGTCGTCCCAAAATCTGATTGAACCGTAGGTCTTCGCATAGTCATCGGACCCATTCTTGATGTCTTTGAACACTTCATATGCCCTGCGCAGACTTTCTGAACCCCCCACATCGTCGAAACTTTGTGTTTTTGACTCCAACTTCATGACTGCGAACTCACTCGAAGTAGATGTTGGCGTTGACGAACCAGTGCTTTCGGGGTCGTTGGCCTCACTGAATGTGGGGGAAGCGCCTCGGGTAGGCGGACTGGTCATCAACCTGATGGCGTTGGACGACGGGCTGCGAGCACGTATGCATTGAACCAAATCTCCTACGGAGAGCAGACTCTGATACTCCTCCGCACTCAAATCGACCAAAAAGGTTTCGTTGACTTCGTTGAGCACCTCACTCGACAAGAGGGAGTCAATGCCCAGGTCAGCAAGCGAAGCATCGTTTGCGATGGCGCCGAGATCGATCTCTGCAACTCTTGCCAGGAGGCAAAAGACATCCTCGTCGCTGACAACTTTTGATGGGGTGTCGTCTGCGCGTGACACGGCTGTTTGGGATTGAAAGTCTATCGCGGGGACAGAGTCCTCCATCTTCTTCTCTTGAAAATCTTCGACAACGACGCCGCCGACTTTCCCCCCTGCGTTTTTTGAAGACAACGCTCGAACAAGAGATTTTATCAACATCCGAGTGAATCTCGCGCCGTGAATGATAACAACAATTTTTCCGGTTGCTTCGTCGTAAACATATATGTCGTTATCGATATTCCTCGGGTCGTACTCGCGGTACATGGACAGAACTTTCCATTGTCTCGACGGAGTCAGCGAAAAGCTTGGATGGATCTCCACCTTAGTGATTCGCGTGCAAACGAAAACCTCGTTCTCAGAACACAGTCCACTCAAAGCGTTCACATGGATGCCAGACACCTGGACAAAGTTGTCCAAAGCCAACGGGTCCGTTATCATCTTGTCAAATCCTTCGAGGTTGCACTCGGAAGCCAGCTTGACTCGACTGATCGCTTCATCCCCTTTAGCGAAAATGTCCCAGACACCCTTGTACATCTCATCGTACGTGACGACACGGGAAAACACTGAGTAAACCAGCGGACCCCTAAGTGCTACGGTGTCGGTTACATCAGCGGCTGGAAGCTGTCGGACAGTGTGGCGAAGTGCGGTTTCGTATTGGAGAAATTCGGAGTCGTCTTCGGCGTCTTGTTTGGATACAAGACTAACCTCTCCTGATGCATGCATGCTTGGCCGCAGTTGAGGATCTGCCAGAGATGAAGACATCACGCAGAACTTCCAAGACTGCGAGTGTTCGATCTTGGAGAGGGAAAGTACGATACGGCATCCTTCCCCCAGGCCGAGGGCTTCGTCGATTTGAATCTTCTTCCATGTTGCTGAGAATCCTTTGGTCTCTTCGTGCCCCAAAGCCGTAAGCGCAGCTTGTGCCGCCAGTTCCATGTATAATGGGGCTGGGCATAGGGGCTGGCCCACAACTGCATGCCCTTGTATAAGGCGCTTCCACGTTTCATGCTGAGGATCGACATTGAATTCGAGATTGGCTTCAGTCTTCCGCGTTAAAGTAAGGAGGCGACGCGGAGCGGGCGTGGTGCTGCTGTGTTTGGCTGAAGAGTCGAATTCCAAGGGTCCGACTGTGTCTCTCCATTCAAGCCAGTGGCGAGTCTTCTCAAACTGATACGGTGGTAGGAACGGTACATAGGAGTACATCCCTCTCTGGCAAGTATGAAAGTCCCAGAAAGTGACCGATTGCGACTCTTTCCACAAACCAATGGTAACTTGAGTCAAAGAGTCTCGCAGTGATGTCCTATCCCGCAAATTCATCCCGTAAAATGTGTGTTGAGATGCTTCCTCTCCCAACGCTCTGCGGGCCATGGTCGTAATGCCAGAGTTCGTCCCGGCTTCCAGCCAGCAACAGCCAGCAAGTTCCTCGTGAATCTTGATGATAGCTTGATGGAAGAATACTGGTCTTCGGGTGTGTTCTCTGACACGTTGAGGCCAGGGTAAACATTCCGTATCCCGGTCAAGACAGGTCTCGACAGGTATGGAAGGTTTCCGGAAAACGAGTCCCGCAGCAAGAACTTCGAGATCGTGAAGAATTGGCTCCGTGAAGCGCGAATGGAAGGCGTACGGGACGTCGAGAATCTTTGTCTTGGCATTTTGAGCTGTGGGATCCAGTTTGATGAACTGCTCAGCTTGTTCCACCTCCGATTTCGATCCGGAAATGACAGTCAGTCGTGGGCCATTGTGGCAGGCCACTTCGACAGTGACTGTGTCTGAATTCAAGAGTCGACCCAAAGAAACCGGATCAGTCTCGACAAGTAGCATGGAACCAGGGTCCGGACCCCATTTCTCCTTCATCAGTCGCGCACGCCCTGCCACAAGCTTGAGGCCGTCGGATAGTGACAATATGCCAGAAACACAAGTGGCTGTGAGCTCGCCAAAGCTATGGCCTACCAGTTTGGCGACTGTGAGACCGGAATCAATCCAAGCCTTCGCACAAGAGTACTGCATGCTGAAGAGTGCAGAATGCAAGATGACAGGGTCTTCGATTGGCTCGGACTGGAAAATGTAGGGAAGTATTCCAGGAAATCCCTGAGACTTAAGCTCGCTCTGGCAGCAATCAAGATGGTGCCGGAGAAGGGCACAGGATTCGTATGTGTCCTTATCAAGGGCGACGAACTTCGAATTCTGGCCACCGAATGCCATGACGACAGGCCGAGACTGACTCGGTAAATTTACATTCCAAATGCCCGAGGTACTGGACTCATCAAGACGCTCGGTGAGTTGATCCATGCTGGCGGCGTCGAAAGTGGCTGCAAAAGGCAACGATGGATTTTGCCCTGATACGACGCTGAAGGAAAGATCAGCCAAGCGGGCTTGTTCCTGTTGGTTGGGCGACATCGCAAATTGCTTCAGGATTTGTTTGCGCAGAACACCAATATTGGCAGACAGGGATTGTTGGCTAGAGGCTGTAACGATGAATGGGAACGGGGTATCCTTCGGAAGGCGGCTGTTGTTCGTCGTCCGAGCAATGGCCACACATGGCGATGGCGGCTCTGTAACAATAAGTGCTGCGTTACTTCCCGAGGCTCCATAGTTGTTAACACAAATTGTCAGTGGCCCCGGAGATTTCCATTCAATGCCAGTTGTGGTGATGGCGATCCTGTCCGACTCCGAAAGTGTGATCTGAGGGTTCAGTGCCGTGAAGCTGGCTTGAGGGGGAATCCGTTTGTGATGAATCATCAACACCGCTTTGATCACAGCAGCAACCCCAGACGCACTCTCCGTGTGCCCGATGTTTGCCTTGATTGAACCAACATGTAAAAGCTGTTTTGTCTGGCGCCGCAAACCACCAAACGTTCGTCGAATACTCTCAAACTCAATCGGGTCACCCACAGGCGTCCCAGTTCCGTGAGCTTCAACATAAGTAACGTCGTCGGGCGTCATGCGCGAGAATCGTAGCACCTCTTCGTAAAGATCAGATTGCGAGGGCCCATGAGGTACAGTAATGTACGTCTCGTTGCTGTTTTGTCTGACAGCAGAGCCAGGGATCACAGCCAAGATCTTGTCTCCCAACGCTTGCGCCTCTGATAACTTCTTGAGCAAGAGGAGGCCAACGCCCTCTCCTCTGCAATAGCCGTCAGCTTTTGCGTCAAATGACTTGCATTGACCCGTGGTGCTAAGAAACTTTCCAGCATTGAGGTTCTGGAAAAAGTTGGGGCTTGTAAAGACATTGACGCCTCCAGCTAAAGCAGCTGTGCATTTCCCAGCAATGATGTCGGTGCATGCTTTGTTGATAGCCACAGCCGATGAGGAGCATGCAGTGTCGATCGTGGATGATTCGCCGGTCCAACCAAAGAAGTTGCTGATCCTTCCGGCCAAAAACGCTCTGAGTGTTCCCAGTGTCGAAAATGCATTGGGTGGGTGCGATGCGACGTTGTCAGCATAATCGTTTGCGCACACGCCGATGTAACAGCCGACATCCTTGCTAGGTGGCTTAGGACCGTTGAAGTAGTTTGCAGACTCCAGAGCCTGGTAGGCGACCTCGAGCAGAAGGCGTTGTTGTGGATCCATTGAAGATGCCTCTCTACTTGTTTTTCGGAAGAAGCGATGGTCAAAGGCGTCAACGTCATTGATAAGGTTGGCAAAAAATCTCTGAACCTGAGGAGTTCGCCGAAGACCATTTGTCGAAAACCTCTCGGCCGGTATCTCTTGACAAAGCGACTTGCCAGATTCAATGACGTTCCATAGCTCATCGACAGAGTCCGCCCCAGGAAACCTGCAGGCCATGCCCACAATTGCAACCGCAGTATCTGGATAGCTTCTGGCTGGTGTCGAGGCTATCAAAGGCTCGGTTTGATTGGACAGGCGTAGCGGTGGTCTGATTGAGTACGGGCCCAGGAACCGTGAACTTGAAAGGCACCGGACCGGGCCCAGTTCCAAGACATTCCTTGCATCTTGTCCGGGTCTGACCTTCGAGGCGACTTGGCTTACAACCAAGTGCCAGTCGGCCACCTCCGTCATAATGCACTCCAGTATTTCCTCGTGTAGCGGTCGGCCACCAAGAGTCCGGCCGTCCCGATTGGAGCATACGGGGACTATCAGCCCGTCAACCTCTGGAAACCGGAGCTTTGATCCTTGGGCGCAAAACTCCAACAACTGTTGTTTCCAGTGACTAAGCGCTGGTGTGTGATATCGGGCTCTGAGACTGAGAGGCTTCAATGTGTAGTCTTCTAAAGGGATATGTTGGCGAAGTGCTGCTACCTTTGCCGTTGGTACAATAATTGTGCAGCTTGCGTGATCGATCCTAGTTGCAACGTACGACTGTGTCTGAACATACATTAGATGAGAGAAAGACATGTTCATTCGTGGAGTGCTTACGCAAGTGGCACAGGAATCATTCTCTGGAACTTGCGCGGCAATCCCGCATGGCTCATTCTTTCCGTTACATATTAGCAAACATTCTTCTGCTTTCTGAAAGAAGGGATGCTCACATTTACTTCTTCCAAAATAGAAGTTGCAAGGCTGACGTCTAGGTCCAATCCTCGTTGGCGGCGTAGCACGAATGCTGTAGTTGCCCCTGCTTGGGTTTGATCGAAATCCAGATACACTCCAATGCAGAACGAAAGGCGGAGTGCGACAGCAAAATTATGCACCAAGGCTGTCTCGTCCCTGGAATTCGAAATTGCGGTAGCCGATAATAGTCCTAGACAGAATCCCTGGCATCCGCCGTCTGAGATATTGCCAAGTAACTGCTTGTGGGATAGGTCGTTCTCCTTTAAGTACTGGAAATATTGTACCATCCCAAAAAGGACAGACAGAGGGGATGAGATTGAATTCCAGTATTCTTTTATCTGGTCTTCAATGGCGTCAAGGTCGTGCTCCAGCCAGCGTGTCAACTGCACAGCGCACCATCTGCCAGGCGTTCTTTCAAGGCATGGCTCATGAGCCACTAGACACTGAAATAGGGAAGGTAGTTCTGAGATTGAATCCAAGAGTGGCTGTAGGTTGGGAATCTGCCGCAAAGCTGATCTGATGTCATGCAGAGCTAACCCTCTGAAGCCTTCAGAGGCCTGGGGTCCAAAAAAGATAGCTTTCAGAGACATGCTGGAAGGACTTGTAGAATGATTCTCTGACTTGGGCGAATATGAGATGAATGCGGGAACTTTTTTGAATTTACCAAACTAAAGGTGCCAGGTTGGAGGGCCAGAAGGGTTATGTCTCAATGAAGATTAGTCTCTAGCCTGCTCAGCCGTTACTCAATAGCTTCTCAGCGCTTGTCATCTACTGCAGCATCGGAGACTTTAGTGCTTCTTTACAACGGTATTCCACCACTTTGAAACCCTGACCGTCCTGAAACGCACGCGGATAATTGGCCACTGTAGCTCTTATCGATGGAATAGCTTGGCTGCACAACTGCCGGGTTCCTTCCTTGACTCATTTCACATTGGTTTCATGCAGAGTCTTTGGAGATTTCGTGATGTGTGGAAAATAACCCGCGGTGGGTCGTACGAGTAGCAGAGTTTACACAGGCGGCAGCATGTTTTGGGGTCGTCTACAAGGTTGCTTCAGACTTCGCCAGACGTGCCACCGAATGACCAAAGATATTCACAAGCTCCGAGGCAGGCTACTATATCGTTCTCGCTGAAACAGGAAGTGGTCCGGGCTTAGGTTCGGGGGCTCCCGACACAGAAAATGCCTCGCTAAATTGGGTGTGAACCATCCCGGGCCGCGCCCACGGTCCAGGTGACGAGCCCAGACTCCTAAGCCGATGGTTTGTCGATCTGTTGCCCTCCTCTGGACTACAGTTTCCTCTCACCCACACTCCCACGGCATGAAGTTTCTGCCAACAGGTGTCATATTCGCATTTAAATCCAAGATTTTCCTTTGTGGTTGGCTGTGTGCTCATCTCGTCTTCAGCTCAGATCGCGATATCATTCTCCCATCTTACTGCAAGTTTTCTTAAACCTCAGACTAGACAACTATCACTCTGCACCTCATCATGTCACGATCTCCAGGCTCTGAATCGGAAACTCAACAGCTTTTGGGGCTTGTTGACCTACTCCGTGAATCCGTGCTCACCGTTACGCAACAATGGGAGAAGGAACGTAATTCGTCTGTCACGGAGAATTCTGCGCAGCAAACAGTGCCCAGTCCGGATTTGTTCGAGGCTCAAAGAAGAATCGAGGCCATCGCTGGCACACTCATAGCGCTCGTGGCAGAGCCTTCTCACAGGATCCAGCAAGTTATGACTCTGGCTGTCCAAGCGAGAGCACTAATTCTAGCCACTGAGATGAAAATTCCAGACAAGTTGACAGCCGCCGGAAAACAAGGAATCCACGTCAGTATGCTGTCAGAGCGTACCGGGATTGAGTCTCGCAAGCTTGGTAAGTTCAGCCCGAGCCGAACAGATAACCAGCAATGGCCTTGTGGAGGCCCTCTGACGAGTGGGACCCTTGTCCACTACAGCTCGCCTCATGCGAACCTTGTGTACCATTCATATCTTCAATGAGCCTGAAGAGAACCGCTTCACGAATAACCGCATTTCACAAGTCTTAGTGGACAATGAGCCGCTTAGGGCCCTGGTGCAGTTAGCGTACGTATCAAATAGAAAGTATATTGAAGGTCGTAGGCTGATTTTGCGAAAACTCACATAGGAGCATGCACTCATTCACATCTGAGTACTTGGGTAAATACCTTTTGGGTCCGACTGGATCCTCTTATGAAAAAGACGAGACAGCGTTCCAGATCGCGCTTGGCACGGACAAGACGCAGTTCGACTGGTTCGCCGAGAAAGTCACAGTTGAGGAGCTCAAACGTGGAGGTCGCGGTACTGGCTACCCGGGCTTCTTCTCCAGGCCTGGAGACGGCAACTGGGAGGGGCCAGACTCCAACGGGTTGGTATCCCGCCCTGAACTGGCAAACTTCGGAAAAGCGATGATTGGTAGCGGATCGGTCAATAGTCCCGCTCATGTTCTGGACTATCCCTGGAGCAACCTCGGAAACGGTGCCACCGTCGTAGACGTGGGTGGCGGGGTTGGTACGCAACGCTTGCAACCTTCCAATAAACTAAACTTGATTGACTGGCTAATGTCCGTTCAGGAGGTTTCGCCCTTCAAATGCTGAAGGCCCACCCTCACTTGCGGTTCATCGTGCAGGACCGTCCTGAAGTTATCAGTCAAGGGAAGAATGAAGTCTTTCCCACTCATGCGCCGTGGGCATTGAAAGATGACCAAGTCACCTTCATGGACCACGACTTTTTCCAACCTAATCCTGTTGTTGGCGCAGATGTGTATTGGCTTCGTCGCATCCTGTAAGTTCTCTGTTTCTAAGAGCCTGTAACAACAGCTAATGGTCGCAAGGCATGATTGGTCGGATGAGCCGTGCCTCAGAATTCTCAGAGCTCTCAAGGTCGCCATGAGACCCAATTCGAGGATCCTCCTCGCTGATTGCGTGCTGAATACTACTTGCGGATCTCCAGATGTGCCCTCGGCTCCGGATCTGTTGCCTGCCAACTATGGCTATTGGTGCCAATATAACCATGTGCTCGGGATGATTATGATGGCAGAGAATAATGGGATCGAGAGAACTGCATCCGAAGTCAAAGATCTGATCACTAGGGCTGGATTGAGGATCAACAAGATTTGGCCAGTCAGAAGTCTGGTGGGCATAGTTGAGGTAATGCTATAATCCATGTAGCAATAGTTCAGTCTAGAAAAGTCTAGGAAAAGTATGAATACGGTTTCACGCACTAGGCCTTTGAGTATGTAACAAAACCTCAGAATGTGGCAATGGTCTAGTAGCGGGAAATTCCCAGCCGTCTTAACAGCAGGCGTCAGGAATAGCTTGATAAGGTTCCCATTTCGAAGAACTCGCGGGGTCCACCCAGGCATGCTCCTGCCAGTCGGATGGATAGTTCGGCTAGGTTTCGGCTTGCAAGCATAACCATCCTTGTGGTATATCCTACTCCAAATCTTGTGGCCATCGAAGGTTATGGCCGAAAGCGGTATGCCGTCAGTACGCAAGGAATTGTCCAAAAGCGGTAAGCTGTGAGTACAACATCCAAACGTTTCTATCGTTTCAATTCTGTACAGAAAGTGGGCTTTTTTGGAAGACTATTTGCTGTCTTCGCTCATCTCAATTTGTCTCATTGTGAAGAACGTGCCCCAACTTAATCACCAGCCATCTTCGAGCACTCGGATTTACAGTGCATTCGGAAATTTGCGAGTCAGAAGGCTACGGCGGGTAGCTCCGTAAGCTGGAAAAGCTGAGAAATTGAGGGTAAAGTCTATTACGCGACATGTACCAGCAAATCATAGCCGGCATTATGAGACGAACAATACAGGCAACTCCCTTTTCCTTTAATGCCCGTTCAGGCAATACCAAACGTTCTTGCCTTATAGTCACGACGATGCACTCATGTTCTTATCTGCTGCGGAATTCCAGTTGAATGATTAGACCCGATTCGTATTCATAAAGTTTCTACAATCCTCGTTACATACGCTGAAACTCCGTCATCGTGCGTCTGTGCGAAGCGTCTAGTGCCGCTAACCGAGTCCTCGGTTTATGGCCAGATGGCAAGTTTACTGACATTTGGATTTGGGTCTCGATTTTACTTGGACACATTGTGATCAGCATGGCGTCACCAATGAGCCTCGGAAACGACTTTCACGTTATCATCGTCGGTGCAGGACTCGCGGGGCTGTCAGCTGCTTTGTCGATCAAGCTTGCCAACCCATCACATCGAGTAACTATTTTCGAATCTGCAAAGGAATTCAGAGAAGTTGGCGTCAGTTGGATCACAAATCTTGCAGAGAAATCAGGTCGATGGCATCTAACTCACACACTCGCAGGCGGGCATACAGCTTACTCCCAATGGCGTACGCCTCCTTGAGAAGTGGGATGTGATGAAAGAATTGCCTACGGCATTGCCGAACACCATGAGTGTAAGACGCTACGACGGCTCAAAGCTGCTAGCACATGAGCCTTTCCTGCAGCAGCTCTTACAACGCCGCTGTGGCGCCTCGATTATTGATGTCCACCGAGCTGACCTGCAAAACGCCATGCTCGCCAAGTGTGTTGACGAACTGGGTGTGACTATAAAGCTAGGCACCTCAGTAAAGTCAGTCGATTTCAATGACGCCGCAGTGACTCTCGAAAACGGTTCAACAATCCACGGGGACGTTGTTCTTCTCGCAGACGGCCTGTGGTCCACGATTCGCAGCGAGTTCGCTGGGAAGGACCATCCGCCTATCGCGACGGGAGACTTGGCGTACCGGCTTCTCATCTCCGTTGACGAGCTCAGCGGCCCCGATGAGGACGAGCTACGAGAGTTCATCAGCCGTCCTGCCTTGAATTTCTGGATTGGGCCGTCTTCCCACGTCGTTGGGTATTCGTTGCGTGAAGGCACCATGTTCAACTTGGTCTTTCTTCGACCGGACGACTTGCCTGATGGGGTATCCAGGACTGGTGGGACTCAAGCCGAGATCAGCTCAGCACTCCCCTGGGACCCTTTGCTTCTGAAATTTCTAAAGGCGAGCAAAGAGGTGACCAAGTGGAAGCTTATGTGGGCTAAGCCTCTGTCCCAGTTGGCTAATGAAAGCGGGACTTTCTTCATGGCAGGCGATTGTTGCCATCCCATGCTACCATACCTGGCGCAAGGGGCGAACTCGAGTCTAGAGGACGGCGCCGTTCTAGGACATTTACTTGGCAAGGTGTCACAAGCAAACAAGACCAAGCTTCTTCCTGTGGTTTCGAAGGTGTATCAGCGCTTGAGAAACGACAGAACCCGTTGGATCCAGGAGGAGGCATTCCGCCAACGGGATGCACTCCATCTGTCCGATGGCGAGGAACAGAGGGAGAGAGACAGAGACATGGTCGGACAGCTGGGAAATGAAATACGTGGGCCGTTTCCAATTAGGTTCTTTTGTCCTGAAGCCCAGCGGTTGTTGTTTGCGTACGACGCATATGAGCAAGCGGAGAGGGATTGGGACAATGTATCCAGCACCTTATGTTAGCTTATGATTTGCAGTGGTCTCGCAATTCTCGTTAATTCGTACGTCCGTTCATAAGGTACTGTGATCCTCCTGGAATTCAAGCTAGGCTGCTGTCTTGATATTACTCCAGCGCGTTGGACTGAATGTATGCCGATGAGGCCATGGGCGGTTCTAGGCAGGCTTCCGAGACCCGAAGGTACCAATGAAATCAGCCTCCAAGAGTCTAGGCATTGCGCATGTCTGTGGGGACAGACATCAGGAGAAAGATTCCCCGCGCCAAGAACAGCCAAGGTCGGGTAGAAGGAAGCAATAAAATTCCATCAATCAACTCGTCGAGGACTCTACTCCAAGATACTATGGCCCACATAGCGTCCTGGGCAACCAAAGCCCCGATCACCAAGTAGGCAAGTATACCAATGTGGGCTCGTTGTGATACACGAGATTGCATGAGTCGCAGGTGTATATAAAATGGACTCTATATTGCTCAATAATTCACACTTGACCCAACGGCAGCAAGTTATCATCAAGATGAAATACTTTGCTGTGGCTCTTTTGGTCATCCTGAGCAACATCCTTTGTACGTCAGGTTTGAATATACCTCGTACAGCTGAAGAGTTTCGCCTTAAGCATCCTCTGCCCAAGAGGACTATCCCATGCCGCGCATCTTTCACGCCGAAATCATCAGTGAACAATACTGACGATGTCGCTGACTCCTTTTTAGACGCTATGATGCGTGCTAATAATGGAGGGGCTGTGTATCTTCCTGCAGGTCAGACGTTTGTAATCGGCAAACCACTTGACTTGACATTCCTTCATGATGTTCACATCCGCCTTGAGGGAACCATTAAGTTTACCGACGACGTTGAATTTTGGCAAGCCAACGCTTATCAGCATCCGTTTCAAAGATCGCTAATGTTCTGGAAATGGGGCGGTAAAGATGTATGGATTCATGGCGAGGGTGTCATTGACGGACAAGGGCAAAGGTGGTGGAATGAATTTTCTGGACAAGAGTGAGCAACTGCAATCTCGTGCAAAATATTGGACTAACTCTTTGGATCAGAATCTTAGACTCAGACAATGAGTACCTTAGACCCATTCTCTTTTATGCGGAGGGTATCGAGAATTTGACCGTTGAGGGGATTCTGATGAAGGATTCCCCTGTTTGGCACAATTTTATCGTTGACTGTAAATCCACATTCCTATCGAAGATACAGCCGCAGACACTGATACTTCCTCAGCCAAATACATCACATACCGCGATGTCATCGTTGAGGCAAAATCGAACAATGCCACAGTCGAACCGAAGAATGGCGATTTTTTCAACTCTCTCAACGTTGAGCATATTCGTATTGAGCGCGTTTGGGTTGACTCAGACGACGATTGCTTCTCGCCGAAGAGCAATAATACAGATATCCATGTCAATACGATGTACTGTAATAACTCTCATGGGCAATCACTGGGGAGTCTTGGACAGTATGAGGGAGAGTATGTCTTTGTGAAGGACGTTGTGATTGAGAACGTCTGGATGCTGAACGGAAACAACGGTGCCCGCATCAAGGTCTGGGCTGGGGAAAACGTCGCGACTGGGTTTGTGGAGAATGTGACATTTCGAAACTTTTGGTCTGAGAATGACGACTGGCCTATCTTCTTGGACAGTTGTTACTTCAACGTTGACTCGGAAACCTGTAACCGCTTTCCAAGCAAGATGAAGGTCAGTAACGTGCTCTTCGAAAACTTCCGGGGTATCTCAAGTGGGAGCAAGGGGAGGGCTGTTGCAAGGGTGAGTTGTTCAACGAATGAAAATGGGCGATGCAGGGATATCAAGTTCAAGGGGTTTGACGTGCAGAGCCCTTGTGGTGGGGAGGCGGTGGTTATCTGCGATGGGGTTGACGGCGGCCTGGGCATTCCCTGTGTCCCTTTTGCAAGTGAAGAGGCGCAATCGGCGCTGAAAGAGGTATGCGAGCGTGGAAAGGCCACCATTGACCCTCCTTGGGATGTACGAGACTACGGAGAGAGAGGTATCATGTAGAACCCCAGAACATAGCCTTTAAGTTTTCCAGACCTATGGATATGCACAGTGGCATCATTCACAATTTGGATCTCAACCGTCACCTGCCCTTGTTGTCTTATTAGGGAGCAGGAAACCTTACATTTCAACTAGACTTCAACATCGGTGATGTCTTCGCGGTTGGCGTCTGTCTCACTACTTTATTATCGTATCCCCGTCTTTATTCGCTGCAATAGCAACCCTTTTTCTCAAAGTTATGAACATAAGGTGACCCTTCTTTAAACTCCAGGTATCATGTCGACATGTTTTGGCTCCATAAGCAGCCAGGATCGCCGCTACTCCTAATGTAGTTTAGCACAGGACGATGACGCACACGAACCAACCACCCATAGCCGCATCATGATTTCTTTAAAGGGCGGTCGGCTATCGACTTACCCGATCGCGCCAGATTGAGCCTTGTGGAATAAACAACCTTCCAGCACGGTCGCAAGCACAATGACCTTAATCCAAGAATTCTGGTCTTGGATCACCCCTGCTCAAGGCCCGATTTCTGCATCCCCGGGATTGGGACATGCGGCGCCGACTACGTCGCAAGTGCCGTTCCCTCGCTCCGACTCCAAGCCCACCGTAATTGCCTTCCTCCGGCATTGCGGCTGTCCATGTGTGTCCACCACCCCTGCTGCATGGCCACTCTCACTACTAATAACACAAGTCGCCGAAAAGACCTTCCTTCGACTTCGCGACGCAGCTGGCAGATACCGCGACGTCAAACTCATCGCTGTGTCCTATTCTTCAGAGCTACATACGTCGAAATGGCTTGCGGAAGTCGGAGGGGTTGGAGACACCAATCCGGTTGACGTCGTCGTTGACGAAGACCGCACTGTGTACGCCAAGTGGGGCCTTGGCATATCCTCTTTCCTGCACGTCCTGAGCCCGGGAGAATTGAGTGAAGTCTTCAGTCTGGCATGGAACGAGGGTATCAAAAATAGACCAACAGAGAGCGGAAATCGCTGGCAAACCTCTGGAGCTTGGGCAGTCAATGAGGGTGGAATCATTGTTTGGGGGCGTGCGGCCAAAGGAGCTTCCGAAATTCCGGACTTCGACGAAGCTGTGACGCAAGTGAAGACAGAGAATGGTGGGTAACCCGCTCATTCTCTGCAATCGTGTTTCTCTGTCTGCATGCATGAAAGCAATGACGGAATGAGACAAACAAATAGCAATGATTCGCCTCTTGGCTCGTTGAAGCCTCGGAAGATGTCCAATTTTCGCACCACGTAGATGCCAACCTTGAACGTAGTGGGGCGTGTTCCCTGCCGTGACTTGGCGGTCTGCTTTTGCAATCTCTGAATACCTTCGTTCGATTTGTTGCCTGCTACAGTGCCATTTGCTTGCCGTCACTTGGAGATCCTTGGTCACGAACAGCACTGCGTCCTTTACCTCTTGAACTAGACGTCACTCCTTGTTTGTAGACATTCGATGCGAATATTGCCAAGCCACAGGCACACATAGCTGTGTGCAACAGTGATGAGGAGTTATGCAGCAGATCCGTCACCAAAGCGTACGAACAGTGAGAAGTTCTTTCGGTAATCATTATTGGCATCCCCTGAACGCTGCAGCATGGCGTCTGGGATCTCCGCAGAGAGCCTCCCGGCCCATCCCCGATTGGTTCTTCGTGCCAAACGGTCAGGGATTCATTACCAACATTGGTCCACAGCTCCTCGTAAACCCGTCCAATCGTCGCAGCTGTCTTTTTTTGCCACCCAAAAGCTCATTTCCGAACTCACAGTGTTAGGAAACCACGTGATGGTTCATTGGCGCGGGGGCGCGCACATGGATCTACGCAACACTCCGTATCGCCGTTAATTGAGCTCTCGAGTCTGGTACATTTGTAGGTTGACTGTTGGTTTTTCCATTCCAAAATTGTAGACACCGCAACGCGTGTGTAAGTCCACGGCCAACGAGCCGTGCTTCGTTGATTTCATGGGCATTGTTTTATTAGCGTCGACCCTGGTCTAGGAACTTGTTTTGGAGATGGCTGCTGTTGGCGGTGGTGGGGGTCCGACTGTCCCGGTCAGTTGAACCCCCTGCACCCTTAGGCGGCACAGTCAACGTCCGGGAGATCGAGCAAACATTGTTTTCGGCCTGAAATTGACACTCAAGATGGTTTGGGCAGTTCTATTAGTCACCGGAATTCCTGCCTAAAACCCACCGTGCCACTGCCTGCCTTCTACAATCGTGGCTGCATCGCACGAACTTCTGATCCAAGGAAAATCGTTAAGATGGCGCAATTTAACCAACAATCTCCAGAGCAAGCCCACGCGAAGTCGAGCTGCAAATCTGCCTCTTCTTCGTCACGCCCTCCTATGGTCGTACGCATCCCACACGAGGTGACACCTGAGATCGTCCGCCCGAAGCTACTTGTACTAGAGCCACCGTACGAAGGACCCAACGTGCATGAAGTAGGGGTCAAAGGTTCGTGGATACTTTTTTCAGTGGTTACGTTGAGTATCTGATTCAATCTCGCAGCTGTAGGAAGGTTCATGCCGGTCTCCCACTCTCTCAATTGCACCAAAAAGTCCTCTGAAGGAAGTGGCCAACGAGGTCCAGATTTGCGGCCATTATGGTCATGGGTAAGCTGACAGCTTTATCATAATTGGTGCTTGGGTATCGATGCGGCTTGAAGTCTTTTTCTTCTTCTTGCGCTTGCATCGGTCAATTCATATTCTCGGGATGAAAGACCAAGTTTGGCGGTTGGAATTTGCAGTCGAACGGAGAGCTTACGTGGTTTGTTAAGTTGGCACTATAAATGTTTGATTCGCATTGTGGATTTCTAGAGCAACTCAGGGGAAACGGGAGACTCGTGAATGAAGAACTGCATCATTCAATTTTACTCTAATCTGGAAGTTGTGCAGCACCATGTCGGGCGACGGCTTGACATCAAGTCATCTGCTACTGCTTCTTTGGGGGCAGCACCGTCGGAACCGGGGGACGAGTAGTAGTTCTTGGTAATTCCGGAACAGCAGGTGTCGGGATACAAGCACAAGCGCTGCTGACCCGTGCAACAACATGCTTATCCTCTCCGGCGCACGCCTCGGCAGCATACCCAGGCACAAGGATGTCGTCGGTGTTGAGGCGCTGGGTGTAATTGCCACAGAACTCTCCAGACTCCCTTAGGCGATCAGGAATGTGTGAGGCCCGCAACGCCCGAAGGCAATTATCGGCGTTGCAGACAGGTGCTTTTGGGCATTCCTTGGATGTCATCTTGACCACGAAGCTGCCGCGCTCGATTGTGTGTACGAAAATGAAGCCGGACTTGAAGTTGGCAAACGAGGACCACGATCCGAGGAATGCAACTGTGCCACCACCTTCATTCTCATCATCTTCGGGATAAACGTCAAAAAAGCCAGCCTCGCAGATGCTGCTACCCGTTGGGTCCTTAGTAACACTGCTGACGTCAAGCACGTTTAACCCATTCCCGTAGTTCGACTGATACAAATAACCATTCACCATGTACTGGTTGTGGTCAATAGACCTAGTCTTCCCAGCGTAGTGCCCTACATAGACTGGAGCTTCCAAGTTGCGGATGTCCATAATGTGGGTTGTGGGAAGACCTTGCGTCATTGGGCCGACCTTGGCATCCCTCTCGTCGAATTCGTCGTCAATGAACAAGTACTCTTGCCAAGTTTCGTTATTGACTACACCTTGATGTACGTACTGCGCACCAGGGTAGTCTGTAATTGAGATGATGTTTGTGGTGTTGCCGTTCTTATCAGTGACGTCGTAGATAGTAAGAGTATCCTCGTTGTAGCCATAGCAGATGTCTCTTCCATAGTACCGATGGTCTGGGCCACGATATACTAGACACTCAGCATCATGCACATAACCATCCCCCGCAGCGCAGCCAGGGCTTGTTACGTTGGTTGGGTCGCTGATGTCGAGAAAAATCAGACCGCCCCGACAGGGCAGATCGCCTCGCACCCGAATGGTTTCGTTTCCGCCCACAGAGCCACAAGCAATGGCATAGTTGAGTTCGTGATTGACGACGATGTTGTGAGTACGCCCCATAGGGAGCTCGTCCCAGTGCCCAGTAAGCTCTTCCTGAGTGAAGTTCTTTGGGTTTGCGGGATCTAGATCAAGGACCTTCTTCATGTCGAAGAACTGCACTCCATGGTGAATGGCCTCGGACCCAATCACGGCAATATCACCAACGATACGTATTTCGCGCCATTGCGAGCCGATTCGATCGTATTGTGGGAGACGGCCGAGGTAAACCAGCTTTCCCTCCTCTGAGATCTCTGCAAAGGCGGTGCCGTCGTATTGGCCAATGGCGACGAACTCTCTACCATCTGCTGAAGTCCAGCCCCAGGAAGAGGAACCACGTCCACCCCAGCTGCCAAGCGCTTCATGGGAGAGAAAATGATAAAGGTCGATCTTCATTAATTAGCAATGAGACGTTTTCCACGTGCGTGCGTACAATAAGCTTACGTTGTTACACCTGAAGGTATTATGAAAATCTCCAGGGACCGCCTCAGCAAACCCGTTGACACACGGGGCATATCCGAGCTCAGGATACTGGGAACTATCCATATCGCCAGCGGCGATCTCAGCTTCCCATTGAGCCTTTGGGTCTGTCAGCTAAAGCACTCTGATCAAGCAATGATCGCACACACCATCTTGATTCCCATGATGCGGCGATGCACCTCGCCAGAGTCATACTCTGCTTTCGTACCTGCCCCAGCCGCATTGGTTGATCTCAACAGAGACCAGCCGAGGACGGCTGCCGCATGAATGCGCACCATTTCAACGAATCAAAGAAGTGACAATAGCGAGAGCTACCGAGAGATGAGCTGCTTGTACGAGTCAATGAAGATCAAATCACCTGGGTACCATGTTTCAATGAAGCGGCACCGCCGACCTTTAAGTATTGGGAGTCTATATCTCACGCTTCGGCCATTACGGGTTAGCTACCAAGCATCAACAAGATCAGTAAGTCAACTATTGCCAATCAAAGACGGTGTGCG